TAGATATGGTAAGCCCTTGATTTATGCAACGGGGGTGCATTACAAAAATATCAGAAAAGTTGTGCAAAGTGAATCCGTTTCAATAGAATACTGTATGGTATATAGATATGTATTATATGCCTAACAGTTCACAAGCAGGCGGAATTTTTAGCAAACATTATCTCTCAGTATCAAAGTACACACAACTTTTGCCACTCAGCCAGATGCCAGAAAGAGTGTGTAGGTTCGAATCCTGCTGTGGACTGAGAGATACTGTTCAAAAGATATATGGGAAAAACTGGGTTTTATTCTGTTCATCTAGAGTAATGGGACTTATTCATTTTTTTTATTCTAGTTAATGTACTATAGAGGTTTTTGCACATTCAGTACTATGCAGGAAGATATTTGCAAACATAAAAATGCATAAAATAACATGGAAGAGCCAATTTAATGCAAATCATAACTGCAATATACAATACAGTGTCATAGGGTCAGTAAGAATTATTTAACCATTTTCATTATGAAACCAAAACAGAGTACTGAATAGTAAAAATATTAAATGTGTTCCTCTGAATACAGACAGATTTTTTTTTCAACACACTGGCTGTTTCTCAATGAGGCAGGGTGACCCAAAAAAAAAGAAACAAATGCTTTCACCATCATTCAGCACTTTCACTATCATTCAACACTTCCACCATCATTCAACACTTAAACCATCATTCACACATAATCACTGTCTTTGCAGAGGTGCCCAGATGTGACAGTTTAGATGTCACTCCAAGCAGCCAATATCCCAAACTCCTCCTTTAAAGTGCAGGCATTGTACTTCCCACTTCCAGGACTCAAGTCCAGCTAACCTACAGACTTGCAGTCATATAAAAGTCATAACTAGTTGTGAAGCAGTGATATGTTGCTTTCTCAGTTGTTCTCAGTCAAACAAACAAACTCTATTTCTATAAAAAGGAGTACAGTATATTATACAATTAAGGTGATTAACATACATATTTTTTTTTTTTCAACAAGTCGCCGTCTCCCACCGAGGCAGGGTGACCCAAAAAGAAAGAAAATCCCAAAAAGAAAATACTTTGATCATCATTTAACACTTTCACCTCACACATAATCACTGTTTTTGCAGAGGTGCTCAGAAGCACAACAGTTTAGAAGCATATAACGTATAAAGATACACAACATATCCCTCCAAACTGCTAATATCCCAAAACCCCTCCTTTAGAGTGCAGGCATTGTACTTCCCATTTCCAGGACTCAAGTTTGGCTATATAAAAATAACCGGTTTCCCTGAATCCCTTCACTAAATATTACCCTGCTCACACTCCAACAGATCGTCAGGTCCCAAATACCATTCGTCTCCATTCACTCCTATCGAACACGCTCATGCACGCCTGCTGGATGTCCAAGCCCCTCGCCCACAAAACCTCCCTTACCCCTTCCTTCCAACCTTTTCGAGGACGACCCCTACCCCGCCTTCCTTCTCCTACAGATTTAAATGTTCTCCATGTCATTCTACTTTGATCCATTCTCTCTAAATGACCAAACCACCTCAACAACCCCTCTTCAGCCCTCTGACTAATACTTTTATTAACCCCACACCTTCTCCTAATTTCCACACTCCGAATTTTCTGCATAATATTTACACCACACATTGCCCTTAGACAGGACATCTCCACTGCCTCCAACCGCCTCCTCGCTGCAGCATTTACAACCCAAGCTTCACACCCATATAAGAGTGTTGGTACTACTATACTTTCATACATTCCCTTCTTTGCCTCCATAGATAACGTTTTTTGACTCCACATATACCTCAATGCACCACTCACCTTTTTTTCCTTCATCAATTCTATGATTAACCTCATCCTTCATAAATCCATCCGCCGACATGTCAACTCCCAAGTATCTGAAAACATTCACTTCATCCATACTCCTCCTCCCCAATTTGTTATCCAATTTTTCTTTATCTAAATCATTCAATGTAAGTACTTTATAGAAAGCCATATATTATGTGAAGGATTTTGCTCAGCCTTAAAACTAAATTATGATTACAAGTACAAGTATATGAGAATAGAGGAGGGGTTTGGGATATGTGATGTTTGGAGTGACATCTGAACTGTAGTATCTGTGCACCTTTACAAAGACAGTGATTATGTGTGAAGGATGGTGAAAGTGTTTCTTTCTTTTTTGGGTCACCCTGCTTCAGTGGGAGATGGCCAGCATATTAAAAAAAAAGTTTTTGAAGTGTTGTAGGTAACTAGTAATTCAATAAAAAATTATGTTTAGTGGTATATTGAGGATGATGCTAGGTACATGAGTTGAAGGAATGATAAACAAGGTCAATACAGGCTGAAAGAGTTGTTCAAATTCTTCTCCAGAGTTTCGGAGCAATTCTTCTTCTTTCAACAAACCAGCCATTTCCCACTGAGGCAGAAAGTTTCTCTTTTTAACTTTATTAATGTATGCAGAGCAATTACTGGGGTAATTTTTTAGAATGTTAGTAAATCCCTAGTGTACAATTGAAATGGTTTGAAGCAACCCTGCTAGAGCAGTCCTATTGTGAGTTTAGGGAGATTCTTATTGGTTCTGGGAATGATCATCAGTGTCCTCTCAGACAAGGCCTCATTAACTGGAAAGAACATTTTAAAAAGTATCTCAGGTAAGATAAGTTTACAGGATGAAGATATATATGTGAACTTGCATGAAGATTTAGAATTCATGACTGTGAGGCTTAAAAAATATCTTAGAATAATATAAACATAATGGCCATATTTGCACCGATATGTCACTCTTCTAATTAACTTTGAAATTAAAAACTGGTTAAGTATAGTACTGGATCTGGTAAATTCATTGTTCAGATTTTTTAAAATGTTCTTTGGCTGGTTTTGATTTTCAGCCTGTATGCTATGCCCAAAATTAACAGGCAGCACTTGTCTGCTCATTTCCACCACCCACTCTACCAGTAAACCCATGCCCAGTACATTTAGAAACTATTGGAAAAAATAAGCCATGTGCAATAGAAGCAAAATATCACCTTCCAAATTGCAACTCAAGGGCCTACTGTATTAATTCATTGAATGTTGCCATAATTTAAGCTATCAGTGAATAACCCTTTGCAAGTGGTCTTTCCTTCCTAGGCACCCAGGTTATCTGAAGGAGTCTGGTCGCAGTAAACTTCCCAACTCTGCCTCAGTATCATCTTTTGGCTCCAGGAAAGGAGGCAGCACGTGGTCGCTGTGAGCTCTTTTATTTCCTTGTACCTTACATGGGAAATGTTAAAACTGCACATTTTATTAATTTAAAATGAAGTTTAATAGAATTCAGATTTTAGCTATGTTGCACCAAGATAATCTTGCATGTACGTTAGTCATAGCTGACTGATGATGGGCTTCTGACTTCCTATGGTTTTGATGTTTTTTAATTTTTTTGTTCTCTTTTGTACAAACAAATGTAACACTGCTTTTGAAATTTAATAAATAACTCAAGTTTTAATACTGTACACACACTATTGCATGTTAAACATGTTTTTATCACCTGTTGCTTGTTTTCTTAGATTTATTGTAGGTAGTATATCTCTCGGGGGAAATATGCAAGGATTTTGCCCTCTATTTTTTCTCCCACTACATTTCCAAAGGGTTTCTTAAGAATGCCTCTGGATTGCAGGCATTTTCCATTTCACAAAGGACCATTTATAATAAATTTGCATTATGGCACTATTTCACTATTTGTTATTTTTTTTTATTAACACATCGGCTATCTCCCACCAAGGCAGGGTGGCCTGAAAAAAGAAAAACTTTCATCATCATTCACTCCATCACTGTCTTGCCAGAGGCATGCTTACACTACAGTTTTAAAACTGCAACAGCAACACCCATCCTTCGGAGTCCCGACACTGTACTTCCCACCTCCAGGACTCAAGTCTGGCCTGCCAGTTTCCCTGAATCCCTTCATAAATATTACCTTGCTCACACTCCAACAGCACATTGGTGCTGTTGGAGTGCCATTTGCCTTATGATGCTTTTTCACTAGTAGTAAAATTGAGAAAAATATGGAGAATAAAAAAAATTACAGTACTGTAACTGGAACAGTCCATCAAAAACCTGCACTTAGGAGGACCTTTAGGATGATGATGTGCTCCAGCCTCGGCCATTGTCAAACCTCTCATAAGTTGTGATTTGACAGTGTTTGACGACAGAACCAAACATCGTGGTTGAAATAGACATGTAAAAGCAAAGCAAAACTTTTTCTAAGACAGAATAATGTCTTAGTAAAGTTTTGCACTGCATTTGTCTATTTCAACCATTATATTAATTATATCTCATCTATCTGCAGGTGTCTCTCTTTTTCATGCCATCTGTCTCCAGCTATCTCTCTTATTTTATGCCATCTGTCTCCCACTACCTCTCTTTTGTATGCTATCTATCTCCAGCTACCTCTTTTTTTGTACATTTAAGAAATCCTACTAAATAATCTATGTCTTAAGTGTACTAGCCTTTAAGCATTAGGATTAGTTTACTCAAAATGTACTGCATGTTAGTGGCTTTCTTTTGTGCCTAACAATATTTTATTGCCTGTAAACTATATTATCTGTACATTGCAGAAAAGAAATAAAGAAATTGAATTTGAATTATTCTGTAGCCATTTTGGCTGGACTCAGATGCTCTACATTAATGCTATTGCGGGAACTTCTTGACCTACGATGGGGGTTATGTTCCGACAAACCCATCATAAATCGAAAATATTATAAGTCGATTACAAATATCATGTGCTAAATAAACAAGTAAATAAAAGAATGAAGATTTTATTTCTTTGTAAAGGTTACAATGTGTAATTACAATTTTAGTTTGATAAGTACAAAGAAAGCCACTATCATGAAGGGGCATTTTGGGCAGAGTAATCCTAATACATAATAACTACTTAAATCTAGACAAGATAAGAGTGGTTAACTTTCATTAAAATTTTTATTTAATCTTAATACTAATGCGAGGTAGTTGCACATAATAAAAACAATATTACAATTAATGGCTCAAGCAGTAATAATTCATGGATTGGCAGATGTTTAACCCTTTCAGGGTCGCCAGGCCCTCTCCTAGACTTGTTCTCAGGGTCACCAAATTTTAAAAAAAAAAAAATTATTTTTTCTTATGAAAAGATAGAGAATCTTTTTCTGATCATAATGACACCAAAAGTATGAAATTTGATGGAACGGAATTATGCTCTCACGAAGTTAGCGGTCTCGACGATGTTTACGCATCGGCGATTTTGCCCACTTTGAGCCCTATTTTCGGCCAATTCCAGTGTACTAGTGGACAAAAATCATAACTATTTCGCTAGAACTCCATTTTTTCTATCGAATGAGTACAAGAAACCACCCATTTACCGATTTCAACTATCCAATAAAGTGGTCAGAATTTAGCAATTTTGCCAATTTCACACAAATTTCAAAAGATGCCAATTTCTGAATAGGGTCCAGAATAAACAAGAAAAACATTCCTGGCACTAAAATAACATTATCTCTGTTCATTAGTCATGTCCCCATGCCCCTCTTACATTCTTTTGCTTTCCACTTTGAATTTTTATTCTCACAAAAAATAGAAGATTTACTGTTATGCAGACTACTGCATTAGTGTAGAAATGGTATACATGTAAATAATATCAGTGCACTTGTGAAAGAATATTAGACTCGCCAGTTGACGTGTATTGGACGCGTAGCATGATTTGTTTACTTTTGAACTTTGGTAAAAATCGAACATTTCTGCTACTTTGAGCTCAATTTCAAGGTACTTTTCATTGTAAAACCAGTCAAAATCATCTCAATTTCTATAATATGTCTTCCATTCTATAAAATGAGACCAGAGAAAACTAGAATACAACAATAAATACCATACGAAAATACAGTGCAAAGTCGCTGTTTTAATCCAAAAACATGGTTAAAGTTTTTTTTTTCTCATTACGCACTGTGCTGCAGGATTTTTTTTATACTGCGCACACTGACCACATAGACCCATTCTTTCATATGTAGGCCTACCAGCTTTCTCTCACTAGATTTGAGGGCGCTAAAATTTAGGCATACTAGTACGTCAAAAACCCTGGTGCGTAAGCCGTACTAGTACATCCAAAACCCTGAAAGGGTTAATAGACTAGAGGTCATGTAATATAATATAATAACTGATTGGAAGTTGTTTTGATTGGTTTGGTTAGTATTGATAGATGAGATGATTTTTAAGCAAAGTCCTAATTTTATAAGTAGTCAGGGGATCCTTTACCGGTTCAGGTAGTGAATTCCAGATCTTTGGGTCTTTTATGTGCATTGCATTTTTGCATAGTGTGAGACTGACACGAGGGACGTTGAAGAGAGCCTTATGCCTTATATTGTGACTGTGCGATTCTGTTGTAGTTATCAAAAAGTTTAAGTGGAGGGCTTACATTGGAGTTCAATGTTCTGTATATGTAGTAGGCACAATAATATGAGTGTATGTCTCATATATTTAGCAAGTTCAGACTTTTGAAAAGTGGTGGGGTGTGCTGTCTAGCACAGGAACTGGTCAGTGAATAAGTAAATAAACAAATAATTTTTTTTTTTTCAAACAAGTCGGCCGTCTCCCACCGAGGCAGGGTGACCCAAAAAAAAGAAAGAAAATCCCCAAAAAGAAAATGCTTTCATCATCATTCAACACTTTCACCACACTCACACATTATCACTGTTTTTGCAGAGGTGCTCAGAATACAACAGTTTAGAAGCATATACGTATAAAGATACACAACATATCCCTCCAAACTGCCAATATCCCAAACCCCTCCTTTAACCCTTTCAGGGTCCGTCCCGTAGATCTACAGCTTTACATTCAGGGTCCAAACCGTAAATCTACGTCATGAGCTCGGCTCACTCTGATAAACTGTGAGTGGTACATTTGGGCCTAGATATGAGAGAATACATCTATGTGGTATGTGTGCACCACATAAAACAGATCCTGCAGCACACTGTGTATAATGAGAGAAAAAAACTGAAATCATGATTTTTCGATTAAAACAGCGACTTTGCAGTGTTTTTTCGTATATTTTTTATAGTTGTATTTGCAATTTCTTGGTCTCATTTGATAGAATAGAAGACATATTACAGAAATAGAGATGATTTTGATTGGTTTTAGCACTGGAAATGGCTGGAAACTGAGCTCAAAGTAGCGGAAATGTTAAATTTTTGCCGATATTCAAGAGTAAACAAACGACCTCACACATCTAATACACGCCAGCTAGTGGGTCTAATATACATTCACAAATATGGTGATGATATTTATACAATTATTACAGTATTGCATAACAGTAAATCTTCTATTTTTTGGTGTGAATAAAAATTTATTATGTGAATAAAAAATCATAATGGAATTTATTTGTAAAGCCTCAAAACATAACTAATGAACAGAGGAAATGTTAGTTTAGTTCCAGGAATACCTACATTGCTTATTCTGGACCCCATTTTGAAATTGGAATATTTTGAACTTTGTGTTAAATTGGCCAAATTAAGAATTTCCGATCACTTTATTTCATAGTTGAAACAGTTGACTTGGCAATTTCTTGTGCTCAGTCGATAGAATAGAAGTAATACTAGTGAAATAGCTAAGAATTTGGTTGACTGGAATAATGTAATTGGCCTAAACTGGGAGTCAAAGTCGGCAAATTCGCTGATTCGTAAATATCGCTGACACATCAAAATTTGCGAGAGCATAATTTCGTTAATTTTCCATCAAATTTCGTACTTTTTGTTTTATTACCTTCACAAAAATATTCTCTACCATTTCATAAGAAAAAATAACAATTTTTTTTTTTTAAATTCGTGGACACTGGGGCACCACTTCAGATTTGGGCCTTGGACCCTGAAGGGGTTAAAGTGCAGGCACTGTACTTCCCATTTCCAGGACTCAAGTCCGACTATGTATATGAAAATAACCGGTTTCCCTGAATCCCTTCACTAAATATTACCCTGCTCACACTCCAACAGATCGTCTCCATTCACTCCTATCTAACACACTCATGCACGCTTGCTGGAAGTCCAAGCCCCTTGCCCACAAAACCTCCTTTACCCCCTCTCTCCAACCCTTTCAAGGACGACCCCTACCTCGCCTTCCTTCCCCTATAGATTTATATGCTTTCCATGTCATTCTACTTTGATCCATTCTCTCTAAATGACCAAACCACCTCAACAACCACTCTTCTGCCCTCTGACTAATACTTTTATTAA